CAATATAAAACATACTTGTTTATTATCGACTTCCTGGTGCCGCATTTCATATGCTCTGTCGCTGTCGCTATACCCCCATTATTCCAATTCAAGTTCCAACGATATATTTACAACAATATGATAGATAATATTATTAACTGCTAGCGTCATTCAAACAATATTAGCATTGTAATACAAAAATATCTTGGAAGGACATTACAATTGTCAACTATGTTGCGCAAATCTTAAATAATGAGCGTGTCATTTATATGTGGAAAAAATATATCGGATGCCGGGGCGCCTAGTTAGAGCTTATATATGCTACCTACGTTATTGTACTTCGTAAAATTAGAAAAGAATCATGGCTTTTGTCAACGTAAATAGGTCGATTTTAGAACTGTTTTAGAAAAACATGTTGTTATTTTTGTAGTAGGTCGCCCACATAATGAGAATAATGCAGTGGTGCATTTTCAGCATGGACACTTTTGGTAGGTACCTGCTCCAATTTTTAAATTCCCAACGTAAACAATTTAAATGTCTGGTGATCATAAATGCAACTGTAATAGTTATTTATGTATTAAGGGCATAATAGTGATGTTTATATTCTCGAGGGCGACGAGTTAAAAAGCTCGAGGGCCTATGGCCAATTTTATGTTTTGCAAACAGTTTTCTTCGTCAAAAATCGTTTACAAAATAATTCATTATGTTTGATCGAGTATGCGTGGTTCGAATTTGTTAATGTGATTGAAACCATCCAAACGTCAAACGTAATTTTAAATAATTCAATTCATCGTGAATGAGCTAGAAGTTCCAGAAACTATACGAAATAAGGCCAATCTTGTGATTTAGTAGGTATTGACAATTAATAATTGACGTTTCTAATTTTCAATGACCTGCAAATATTTGTTTGTTTTGTCATTAAGTATAAATGAGTTACTATGGTGATACTTAATGCCCTAGGGCATAAAGTGGTACTTTATGCCCGCGTATCACAGATATAAAATGTGCTATGATAGGTTAGTAAGACATAAAATAAAATATTGGAATGGCTGCGCAATGCTAAAATACTGGAAATACATAAACAAATTGCATGGTTTTTTATAAATAAATAAAGCATTAAAATTAAGTAGATATGTAAATATTTTTTCAATGCTTTCATTCGTAACATAAATTTGATAACTCTGACGTAAACTTCGATGATAAGTACGGATTTTTTCGGTTACGTATTTGAATTTTTCATTTTTCATCGACCATGGTCTAATCGTCGAATTTTATCATTTCTTATTTTATTCTGTTTTTCTTTCCATTTTTCAAATTCTGTAGATTACCCAAATTCTTGAGGCCTTCAGATTCTTTATATTCATAGCATTATTCCATTTAATAATAATAATAATGTTTATTTCTAATGAATATAGTATAGAACAAAAAGTAAAAAAAAGTACATTCACATTGGAAACATTTCTTCTTCGTAATTCATATTCTTAAATTCAAATTACTTGAATCCTTCTGTTCGTTGGATTTTTTAATTCCTCTCTTTTGAATCTTCGTTTATATATTTTTAAAATATTCAAACCATTCAACTCTTTAATTCTTTGGTTCTTCAGATGCTAGCACGTTCTTTGCATTTTTCGATTCAAGGTCTTTTCATTTATCGGATTCTGAATATTTTACCGATTATTGGATTTCTCCCGATCCTTTTCTTGAAATTCTTCCGATACACATAAATCTGATTTTCAAGATTATTTCAATGTTTCTGATTTTTTCTAATTCTTTGAGCATGGGATTTTTCAGATTCTTTAGTGTCAGAAATTCTTTAGATTCATCTGAACTGTTTCAAGTTTTCTTCGTTTTCAGATCATCTGTATTTTTTTCGTGTCTTTGCAAAATGTCGCGGCTAAAACTTATAATTGCAGAATTAGTTGTAGCGAACCTGGAGAAGGAAAAGGTAATTGGCCACAGCTAACCAGGTGAAACGGGTCTTTCTGTGAAACAACCACCGAGGTTGGACTAAATTCATATAATTAAAATAAACTAAAAATAAAATAAAAAACAAGCTTTGTGAATCCTTGGGCACCGACGGATATAATACCTTTGGCAAAGAATCTACATACACACAAAAGATATTTAGTTGCATGAAACAGTAAACAAAATTAGCAATTCTGGGCAAGGTTACACTTAAGTAAACGCTATAACTCAATCTATACTACATTCATTATAAGTAGATGGCGCTGTGTTTGAAGATAAGCACACACAGGAAGAGTATAAAACGGCACCAAATTGTTGTAAAGTAGAAGTATCCAGCACTGCAAACAGAAATAAATCAAACGATTTCACGTTTGGAATTTGACGTGAACAGCTAATGACAGTTTTGACAGTTTAGTAACAAAAATTAACAGCTTACAAAATTCGTTACTCGTTTTATTTTTCCGCGTAATACTGACTCGTGTTTTAACCAATCACAGTGAAGATCAAAGGGTCTCTATGCTTTCTACCACTACCATCTTAAAATGAATACGGTACGGTATAATCTCAGTTACAGCTAAGAAGAAAAATAACTTAACTTACTGAATTACCTTGTGTTGACACACAACGGCAAAGCTAAAAGATAAATTGAACTGCAATTTACAGTTGATTTGACAGTAGCAACTTCTATATTTCATGCGTAATCAATTGCAGAGCAATTTGTCAAGACGGTAGTAACAATGTACAGAAACGGAACAAGACACGACAGAGGCTATTACAGGTTACCTGCACCTTGGGCAGCTGCTAGGATAGTTCATCTGTGCATTGCGGAACATCCGATCGTAAAATTAATGCATGCAGTTATAGATAATTTGATATTGAACATCTTATGTTTGAAACATTTTTCGCTAACTCTTACCAAAGAGTATCCATCTTACCACCTTAGATAAAACGCCCACGCAAACAGAGTGGTACTGGAAAATAGCGACCATTTTGAATGACGTCATACTGGCAATTCGTGGGGAGTAGGGAATACCACCCAAGTTTCTTTGTTTCCCATAGACTCAAGTAACTAAACCACAAAGAATTTTTTCTATAGATATACTTGCACCAGGACTGAATGGGGCGTAATGGCAGTGTCCATGCAAATGCCTGACATAGTTAAGTGGGTCTTCCCGAATTAGGTAAAAAAAGCTTGGGAGTTTGGTCTTCACTGAAGCCGTCTGACCATCCATCATCCAACACCGTCCAAGGGAGATTTGAGCACCTCTTGCTAGTCCCTTTCAATCATTCCGGAGGAGAACCCACTAGTTAGAAAATCGCCACCGCGAATTTCTTTGGTAGAAAATACAGCGTTATTTGTTGATTTCTTTAAAGTTTATAGTTTATCCCATCCGTCGCCGCTTTGAACCCCTATTGTTATCGCAACTATAGCGTAAGTACGTATACCTACTGCGTTTGTATATGTGACGGTTCACTTTTATAAAAAGCAGCGTTTTAACAGGTTCTAGGGGCATTTCAGACAACATTTGGCCAAATAGGCGTTTTGTACTAATTTGGACCTGCTGAACACGAATATCGATGTTGGCATCTCGAAATCTGAACAGGAAGTTCAGAATTCAAGATGGCGGCCAATTTCCGAAAATGTTGATCTTTTCACTCATGCGAGCAATTTTTTCGATCTAAAAACGGATTATAATGTTATTCTTGACGGAGGTACGACACGATAATAATAGAGAACAAATGTTTAAACAATGATATCATAGTTTTTCTAACGTCAAAGTGCGTAAAAGTGGAAACCGTTTTTTATAGTACCTACTGTATGGGTACTGTTTAAATTTGTTCACATCGTGTAATTATTAAATTATTTCTGTTTTGGCAAG